TGTGACTTTGGACAAGTCACTTAACTTATCTCATCGATAATGTGGGCTTTACAGTGCCGAGCCCCTTCTGGGCAGGCAGCACGCTGATCACCATGGGGACGCTGGTGTCTGGGCATCACTGTCGCTGTTGGAGTTAGCACATGTGGCAGGCATTGAGGTTTCTCAACTCGTGACATTCTGTTCCCTTGGAAGAAGCACCTGAGAATGGACTTAGGGCTGTCACACTGGGCAGCAGAAGTCCCTAAGGCCACAGGGAAGGCTGTGTCCCCAAGTGGGCTTTCATGTTAATTTCAGCTGTCGCCAAGGGTTGAATCCTGGCTTTCCTAGAGTTGAGATCTGCATTTCCTTGGCTGGAGTTCCTCAATTTCGCTCCCCACTAGCGCACTAAGGAGGGGGTGCAGGCTACCTCCCTTCCCCAGAGAGACCAGGGCATCCAAAACAAAAGGTGGACAAGGTGCACAGAGCCATCCTGGATGCTGTCCCGGGAATGGAAAGTTCTGAGAAGCCTGCCTCTTAGTTTGCGCAACACAGGCCGCATGGCTGATGGCGCGTGACCCTCCAGGTCACACGCCCACTCAAATGGCCACCAGCCACGCACCAACCAAAGCTCCTCCCACTGGAGAGACAGCAGCATGGTTCCAGACAATAGGTGAGAGTCGTGAAGTCAGGAGATTGTCAGGTTCACAGCTCTGGGCTGGTGGGGAGCTGAGCTCACCCCCAATCTCCCCACTCAGAAGGTAAAAGAATATCCTCCCTTGGGACTGCTGGCAAGGTGAAACACAGCAGTGTCTGCAAACCGCCTACCTGAAGGTGGGCGTTGAGCACGTGACCTGTCTTCCCTTGATCCCGAGGAACGTAAGGACAAGGTTTGGATTCTGTCTAATGGGACTTCATTAAACAAAAGTGCTGATGGTTCCTTCTCTTATTAATGATTTTTGAAAAACCACTGCGTCTTGATTGCTAAAATTAAATGGGGTTAAAGGGCTCTCTCTTTAGAGATCATCATCTCCACTATCTCATTTTTCAGAAAAGGAACCTGAGGTCCAAGTTCACGCATACAGAAACAGCATTGGTCCAAAGACCAGAGGGAGAATGAGGTAAATCCCAGTGACAATCCCTTGACCTGGAAACCTACGAGAATACACCTCTGAGAAAAGGGAGAAAGCAATACAGGATGTTCCAAGCCAGTGTTAATTAACTCATTTCTCTTTTGCCCTTTTCTTATTGTTCCTGGAAGCAATTATGTCTCCCGTACCTCCTCTCCCACCTCCAGCCTCTGCATAAAACTGTCACAGATTAAATCAGATTGTTCAGCCATTTCATCAGGGAGACTTCGGCTCTCACTCGCCGGGGCTTTTCACTCTTCTCAAAGAAAAGCCTCTTCCAGACAAGTTAACTCCTTCTTGGGGGATGCAGAAAGCCAGTGAGCAGACCGCTCCGGAACCTCTGATCCCCGATGGGGCATCTGGTGAGCACGGAGCCCCAACACAGCCCCTGCTGTCCCAGAGAGGACTCTGACGCCAAGTCAGAAGGGGCCGGGTGCAGGCAGCAGAGAGAGGAATTCCCCGGGCGGAAGAACCCAGGCTGCCAGGGCCGACGTGACCTCTCTCAACTCAACACCTTGGGTACGTGTCCATTCTTGATGGACCTCAGTTTCTCCATCTGAACATGCTAGTTTCCAGTCTTTTTAAATTTTTTTTTACCTGTACTAGAGTCCAGGAACTCCCTCAAAATAGCACACGAATGCTTGAGAGGAATGATAAAGTTATTGGAAGAGAGGTGATGTTAGAAGTCACTTTAATGGATAGCCAAGTCTCTTTCTGACTCGTTTTCCGGAATGATTGTGATGTGATCGCGGAGAGACCAGGCACTATGGGGGGAGCCCACTGCTTGGAAATGGCTGTGGGGGAGGGATGCAGTGAGGAGGGGCTGGTAGGAATGGGGCACCCTGGTGTCTGGAGGGGTAGGGACCACGGGGCAGGGTTCAAGGGCACACTCACTAGGTGTTTCATGACACTCGATGCCACATGCCAGGTTGAAAAGACAGAAAGACGTGGCTGAGGCAGGAACCATACCTGGGGACATGGAAGGTGGGCGAGGCTGGCACACGTGTTTCTCAGAATTGGCTGTGCATGCTGGAGCTTTCTCCAGAAGCCCACAGGCCTTGCGATGATGACAGACAGGGAGGCTGGGGGCCTGGGGCAGCTGGAGGGTGGGTTCTGGTTAGCACTGGGCGCCAGGCAGAGGCAGGCTATGAGGGACAGCCTATGTGTCACACCCATGCTTCATGAGGCCTGGGAGAGATAGCCTGCACATGTCACACGTAGGCTTCTGGAGGCCTGTGTGGGACAGCCTGTGTGTATCACGTACTTGCTTCAAGAGGCCTGTGTGGGACAGCCTGTGTGTGTCACACGTGGGCTCCCAGAGGTCTGTGTGGGACAGCTTGTGTGTGTCAAACACCTGCTTCAAGAGGCCTGTGTGGGACAGCCTGTGTGTGTCACATGTGGGCTTCCAGAGTCCTGGGTGGGACAACCTGTGTGTATCACGTACTTGCTTCAAGAGGCCTGTGTGGGACAACCTGTGTGTGTCACACGTGGGCTTCCAGAGGTCTGTGTGGGACAGCCTGTGTGTGTCACACACCTGCTTCACGAGGCCTGCGTGGGACAGCCTATGTGGCAGCCAGCTCCTCAGGGTCCGTGAGGCTACATGGATGGGTTCTTCCCTGAAACTAACAGGCCCTCAGAGGCAGACACGCTGGTAGCTCAGTGGGGTCTCATGGTCTGGCCTTTCTCACAGTGCTGGCCCTGGGCCAGCCTGGGTAGATGCCTGGAAGACATCCACTGGACGCAGGGAGCGTAGGCTGCAGTCTTCCCATGGCCGTGCTTCTGTGAACGTGTTGGGGAGTACATCTTCCTGAGTGTCTTCATCAGGCTCAGGGCTGGGGACAAGGCCAACGCACCCCTGCCCTCCTGTACTCGGGGGTGCTGTTGGAAGCTGTCCCTGCAGCTGTGTGTGAGGACAGTAGGGACCAGGGTGGAGAAAGCCTCAAATGTGCAAGGGCCTCCCCCTTCCAGTCACACGATGGACAGGACCCAAAGGGGCTGGGGTTTGTACCTCCCTTGATCCCCGTGGCCCACCCCAGCCTCACCTTCTTTGGTGCATTCTGAGTTTATGGTTTTTGCAAGCCTGTGGTTACCTTGGGAATATTACTATGCATTAGTTCACGTTCTAAGTGACAAGTTCGTGTAAATGTTTAGGATATTTGAACTTTTTAAAAACTTTCATTTTGGTGTTCCTCGTTTATTTTCTCTTTGCCTTTTTCTTTTTTTGTTGAAGGGAGTGGAGGAAAGTTTAGGGTCTTTCTCTATTGCCCCAGCTGCAATTCCAGCTCACTGTAGCCTTGACCTTCTAGGCTCAAGCAATCCTTCCACCTCAGCATCCTAAGTAGTTGGGTCCACAGGCAGGCATCACCACATCCAACTAATTTTTAATTAAAAAAAAAGTAGTAACAGGGTCTTACTATGTTGCTCAAGCTGGTCTCGAACTACTGGGCTCAAGCAGTCTTCTCACCTTCACCAAAGTGTTAGGATCATGATCACGGGCATGAGCTACTACACCTAGCCCCTGTTTCTTTCTTTCTCTTACTTGCTTGCTTGCTTGCTTTCAAGAAAGCAGGATTTATTAAGAGGAGAGAAAAGCTCCCACAGTGGGAGGGGAGCGGAAAGGGCTGCCCCCTGTTTCTTAATATCTAGGAATCCCACCTCACACCCACCTGCCCCAGATAAGAACACGGGGCAGACCTCCCGCGTCATGGGAAAGATCTTGCTCTGAGAGGGTGGTTCTTCCCAGAACCTGCGCATGCAGGACACGGGGACAGGATTCGAGGCCAGGGTGGGAGTTGGACTGCCTAACTTTGTGCCCTTCTGGCTTCCCAAGTCTTTGAATCCCAAGTTGCAGACACAGGAGGTAGAGCAGAAGTTTTCAGTGGGGCTGGACACCAGTTGGGACCCTGTCTCTTCCCTCCTTTTGTCACCACAAAGCAGGGGCAGCTCTGTCTACAGATGCAGCCTTCCTCTCTGTGCTCTAACCATTCGGGGAGGATGAAGCTTCCCAGGACCCTAAGCTCTAATCATCTATGTCCCTTTCTAAACCATTTGTATGAGGGCCCAGACTCCAAACACGTGTCATTAAGGACAATAAGAAAATAGACTGTAAACACAGTAACTAACATGAGTTTTGTGCCAGGCCATGTTCTCAGGGGCTCCCGTGCTCAGTCAGTTTCATAGCCACAACCCAACGCTGTTCTATTATTATCCCTGAAAGTAGGCAGAAACAAGCAAATGACTCTCTTGGGGTCACCTAGCTTGTAAGAGCACAGCCAGAATTGAATCCTGGGTGGTCACCCTGGAAACCAACACAGAGCAAACAGCGATCTAGCATCAGCGGTTCAAATCCCAGCTTTACCATGACTTGCCAAAAGGACTTGGACAAGTCACACGTCCTCTCTGAGACTCAGTTTCCCTCACTGCAAAACGAGCTTAATTAAGCACAGTGCAGGCACTTTACAATGACTAAGAGTAACAGCTGAAGTGAAATGCCTTAGGAGCACACACAGCACGCAGCAGGTGGACAGTCCCCCTGTGGACGTTTTTGTGAAAACATGTTGGAAATGCAAACAGATGCGAAAAAGGAGGAGCAGAAAAAGAGGGTGCCCCTTCTCCCACCTTCTGGCCACAAGGCCGTGAAACTCCCGAGTTGTGTGTGCTTTGCATCCCCTCTGCCCAGAGCTGGTGGGAGGGCTCTGGGTACAGATACTTTCTGGGCCACCTGAAGTGTGGCTCAGCTTCTCACACAAACCCCGCCAGGGCTGCCTGCCCTCCTCTACCGGGGGGTGGAGGAATGGAAACTCTTGCCACCAACAGCATTTGCTAGCAACTTCCCTCTCTGTGGTTTTGCTGCCATTCCCTTGATAAAAGAACTTGAGCTGCGCGCATGTAACCATCTCATCTTCACATGAAAACAGCTGCCTTTCAAGAAGCCGGCTGCCTGAAAAATGATGCAAGATGCTCTCTAAACTGGGTCATTCTCCACTCGGAGAGCTCAGGGCGCGCTTCACTCTCTCTGTGTGTCTCCTGTACCGTAGGCTTCGAGCATCGCCGACAGCCCCGGGGAGAGAGACAGAGATGGGAAACAGCATGAAATCCACCCCTGCGCCTGCTGAGAGGCCTCTGTCCAGCCCAGAGGGTAAGTCTGACTTCTTTGGTGAGAAGCTTAACCTGGGCCTGAGAGATCCCATGGCGAATAATTGTTGAAATCGGGCAGTGGGTACTGGGGGCTCATTATACTTGTCTCTCTAGCTTTGTGTGTGGCTCAAATATTTTACAACTAAAAGTTTAAAAGGATTGGGTGCTTGGCACCCCTGAGGGATGCTGGATCATCAGTATTTTGAGGTGAGTCTGCGAGGTCAGCTGGTTGAATTGCTTCATTTTCCAAGTGGGGAAACTGAGACCCACAATGGGGACAAAATCTGTGGTATTAACTATCTGCTGATGGATTTCAAATCCAGGCCTGTCTGATTATGAAAATTAGACTCTTGCTTGCATGCCCTGCCAGCCCAGGATGTGTATCCTCATCCTTGTAGGTAGCTTGGCAAAAGCCTTATCTGTAGAACTTTGCTCAGCTAGATGCCATCGCTATGATGGCTTCCTAAAAAGGGAGGAATTCGTGTGTCCCGTGGGTGGCATCGCAAGGTGCCAAACATTCCAGGGGGAAGAGGCCAACATTGCAGGTTGATCAGGGATGACAGAAGTCTGCCAGAACCCCAAAGCTACCAAGACTCCCTCAGAAAGTGGCCAGAGACCTGGGAGGGTCACCTGCGAGCAGCAGAGAAAGGTCAAATCTACCTGCTCCGACTCAGCTGTGCTGTCACTTCCAGCACTTGGACCTTTATTCCAGCTGATCCCTAGCCTGGGTGGTGGTGGGTGTCCTGGGTGTGTCCTCTGAGGGTGTGGGAAGGGACAGCTAGGGGAATCAGGTGCCCATCCGCGTCCACAGGATGAGTCATGGACCACCTTGGGACACTCCACCTCCAACTTTACATAGCAGCATCCAGGGCCTGGTGTCCCATCTCTCAGCAGGGGTGACCATGCCTCCCAGCACTGCCCACTGCACTGTGTTACACAGAGTTCAAAGGGTGCAGATGGCCTCTATCCACTGAGCTCCACGTGAGAGTGGAGAGACAGGTTCCTGGTCCTTCCGAGTCGTCCGTGGTCCCTTAACAAGGAAGTCTTCTAGCTTCTTCCAGAATGGACATGTCCAGCTCATGGAGGCAGGTGGCCCCTCAGATGTCCCCAGAGAGTGTGCCAACGTCCAGCCACCCCACCGCCTCACTCAGGTCAGGTGCAGGCAATTCTAGTGGTTCTTATTTTTCTAGCAGAATAACTCCCCTCCCCAAACCAAGCCCAAAAGGGAAAAACAAAAAGAACGTTCCCCAGGACCAAGGAGACAGAACCAGTTGAGCAGATAGAGCCCAGCGTGTGCCCCTGGGGCCCTCTGTCCCCGTGTCCACTCCGTAAGACTGTGCATGTGGCCATGTCACTGCGAGGGAGAGGCTGGGTCCTTCCCCACCTCCTCCCAACTGGCCAGGTCACAGCCAACTCCTCGGATCATGACCCTTGCTAGAAAATGGAGGCCGCAGTGCCAGGGACCTGGTAGGCACCCACCCACCGAACCCATCCTGTGTCTGTGACCTCCTGGCCTGGGCAGAGGGGCTGCATGCTTGAGCAAGCCCCATGAAAACACCAGCCTCCAAGGAGCTACGCCTTTGCCTTCATTTTTTCAATGCAAATTGTCATGAAATAAGTTTCTCTTTTTCCATCGTGTGGGTGGGAGGTCACCTCTATAGCGGAGGTAGGCGCAGGGGTCCCCTCCGCCCCCGGGGAAAGAGAATTCCCCGGGTTATACCCAGGTCGAGATCCAGAAAACCACATCAAGAGCTGGCGGGCTGCTTTCTCACCCCCCACCCCTAGAAGTTCCTCTGATCATGGGTCCCAGCTTGATTTCCTCTTTTCTCTGACACCTACTTGAGCAAGGGAGGACAGGGCGGTGCACTTGACGGTGCATCACTTAGACCCTATCTGCATGCCACACAGAGTTCGGGTTTGCACAGAATGGCGGGTCTCAAATGAGTAACCCAGGAGGTGGAGCAGGTCTTGTGATTGCTTTCGGCCAACATGCAGTTAGAGCCTCCTCTGACATTGGCCTGAGGGTCAGAGAGCTAAAAGCAACACAGGCTCCCTGTCCCGCACACCAGGATGGGTCCACCAGGAGGCCAACCTGTGGACCATTAGACAAGCGTGTTTTCTGAGCTTATGGGAGACCATTCTTCCCCCAAACCAGGACTGTGAATGCTTTGGGATATGAGATATAGTCTCCTAAACTGAGCTTTCCAGAATATTCCTGATTGGTCCAGTTACCGGGGATTAATATCTTAAAACCTACAGAGAAAGCAGGGATGGAAAAGGGCAAGTTCCAGAGGAAAAAGACCCTGCCAGGATGTCTAAATTTCCCTGGGAAACCCTGCAACTTGAGACCCTCAGCCTCCCCCAAAGGCTTTAGCTGTAGGCTGGATGGGAATGACCCCTCCCCCACAGCACCAGCTTAGCCTAAGTGGCTGCCTGATACCAGAGGATGTGGATACTCCTTAGGTCTCCATCTGGGGTTATCTGACCACATGGAGCTGTATCTACATGGCCGTTCCCCAAAAGTTTTAGAGGGGCAGGATTGGTACATCCATGGCTGTTTCCAAATTATCCCAAATCATTCATTTTTCTCTGCAATTCTATGCCTGTTTCTGTGCCAGTTCAGAATTGACCATGATCTAGGGAGCGCCCCAGGCTGTCAGGGAAACAGCAGACTTTCCCCCTTAAAATGAGAGTTTAGTCACTCTGCTGTAATGTTTTCCCTCTTATCCCCCTGACCTGAAGTGAGAAGTCACTCGCAGAGGGGGCAATGCAGTCCCCTTTCTGTGTGTGCAGAGTGGAAACAACACCAGGCAGTACATTTACATAGCTGTCTGATGGAAACATGGGGTGGGGTGGGGTGGCGTGCAATGGGTGGGGCTCGGGGGGAAGCAGGGCACAGGGATGTGGCAAGACCTTGCTCGAAGCTTCTCGTGAGTGGTCCTCAGACCACCTGCAGCAGAATCCCCTGGGAAATATTAAAATGCAGATTCCCGGGCTCCACCCCAGACCTGCTCATCAGAAATGGGAGGTGGAGCAGCAAGCTGAATTTCCTCCAACTCCCTGGTGAAATCTTTTTTTTTTTTTGAGTTGGAGTCTCACTCTGTCTTCCAGACAGGAGTGCAGTGGCCACTCCCGGTCACCGCAGCCTCGACCTGCTGGGCTCCGGCGATCCTTCCGCCTCAGCCTTCTGAGTAGCTGGAACTACAGGCTCGCGCTACCACGTCCGGCTTGTTTTTGATTTATTGTGGAGATGAGGTCTTGCCGAGTTGCCCAGGCGGGTCTCGAACCCGCGAGCTCAGGCAATCCACTCAGCTCAGCCTCCCAAAGCGCTGGGATTACAGGCTGAGCCACCGAGCCCGGCTTCCCTGGTGAATCTTAAGCCCCCTAAAGCTTGCAGACCCCAGACCAGCTTTCGTCCTGCCTCTGCAGTCACACAGGAGGAGAGATAAGACGAGAGGGTTTACGGCCTCAGTGTCTCTGTTCTCCTTTGTAAAACGGGCCTCACTCGGTGCTGGTAGTGTGCCAGACACGGTCCCCAGAGCTTTCCATGCACAGCAGTCCCACGGGGCTGTCACCCCACTCTCTACAGCAGTTGAGGAAAGCGAAGCACAAGAAGGTTATAAAATGACTTGCTGGGAGTGGGCAGCTGGGATTCCAAGGTAGGTAGCCTGACTCCAGAGTCGTCCTCTTGCCTCCACAGTGGAAGCAGCGGGTGGGGACAGACTTTTGAGAATCCCACACGTTCTGAGTGAGGATGGGCCCTCTCTCGAGCCAGGAAGTGTTTGCCTGGCCATGAGATGTAATGACACAGACATTTTAACACCCTCACGAGGGGTCCCCTATGAGCAGCCTGTGTCAGAGCTGGACCAGAACACTGTTTCTGATCTGGTCTTACCCCACTGCTGGTACATGAGATGGTTTTAGGTGGAACATGATCATTCAGTTTTTATACCCTTGTACATTCATGAATATCAAAAAATATAACTCCTCCGATACATCCCAGATTTCACCTGGCTTAGAAAAGCCACTTGAGTTTTTTTTTTAAGTGAATTAATAATATTAATAACAACGTTCATTAGTAACTAGTTGGAGATGCTACCTGACTGAGACAGAGGAGGGTAGAGTGGTCCTGAGCATAGGCCTGCCCTGGCCAGGGTGATGTGGTGTTGAAACTGGTCACCCAGCCTTCCAGGTGGGTGTTCTCAGATCAGTTTCTGAATTTCGGGGTGTCTCTGCGTTCTCATCCCTAAGTTAGGTAGTTACACTCTCTCGGCTTCATTGGGAGGTGTGGTGACCCCGTGCACAGCACACAACCCCATGCTGGGCTCCCTCCAGAAATGTGTTCCCTGCTGTTGCTCATGCTTGTGACAGGGAGGAGGAGGAGGAGGAGGAAGAGGAAGAATAAGGTGGGATGAAAACAAGTGAATTCGGGCAAGCCCCGGGGACCCGAGCAAAACAGATTCTGGGCCCACCTGCCCAAGATGTGTTTTGACTGTTTCCTGCTTTTGCTCTGTGGAAGCCCCGTCCCGTGGCCCTGTAGCATCTGAGTGCACTGAGCTGACCCAAAAAAGCCTTAGGGTCCGTTTAGTTCCAAACTGCCCCTCTAACAAATGGAGAAACCAAGGCTTTGGGCAGAAAAGAGCGTTCTGGATGACTGGGTCTCACATACAGCCCTTTACACACAGATAAGAGGATCCAAGGGCCCATGGTTTGTGGTGACAGATAGAACTCAGTAGCTCTTCAATTGGGCTAGCCTGCCTGGCTCCATGTGACCAATCAGTTGTGTGTGTGTCTGTGTGTGTGTGTTTCCTGAAAGAGTTGCTATAAGTTGAGTCTGCTTTGCCCTTTCAGGAGGCCACAAGTTTGGGCATGACTCCAGGGAGTGCATACCAGAAGCAGAACGCCCCAGGCCAGGTAGCTCTGTGCCTACCAGTTGCTCTGAGCCAACCATGCCAGCTCTCAGGACTCAACTAGAGCCAGCCTCTGTCTCCCTGTTCAGCG